GCCTTGCTTTTTGGATTCTTTTTGTTCCTTGCTGTTCTGATTGAATGTTTTTTTCTTCCTTATGTTCTAAATCATTGATTTGATTCTTGGTTACACTTGGCTACTGTTGACTCCCTGTACATTTTTCTTTATTTCACTTAGTATAATCTTCATTTGTGCCTCAGTCCTTTTTATACTGTTGGAGTACCCAGTGAGTTCCTTGAACATCTTGATAACCAGTGTTTTGAATGCTACATCTGATAGATTGCTTACCTCCATTTTGTTGAGTTCTTTTTTCTTATTTTGGACTTCTGTTCTTTCATTTGGGCCATATTTCTTTGTTTCCTCATTTTGGCAGCCTCCCTATGTTTGTTTCTATGTACCAGGTAGAGCTGCTTTGACTCCCTGTCATAGTAGCATGACCTATTGAAGAAAAGCACATGGGTAACTTGGATGGGGGGAGCCTTCAGTAATCACCAGGGCAGGACAACCTGTGTGAACCAAGTTGATGCGAGTCTTCAATATGGTCACCACTCTGTGGCTCTGTATGGGGAGGGCTCAGAAAGGGGACAATGCCACTGCCTGGCCTCTGGAGTTTTGTCTGGGAGGAAGCCGAATCCCACAACTCACTCTGATGCCAGACCCTTTAGTTTCTCCCTGTATGCCACTGGTGCCCTTCTAGCTGCTGCCCTGGTGCTACAGCCCAGAGAAAGTGAATCTGTGTAAGTCTGTTGTGGGCCCCTTAAAAGGAGACTCCCGAGAATCCCATAGTTTCTTCTGCTGCCTCAACCCCAATTGGTCTTTATGGACAGAAGTTATGGGGACTTGTCTTCCTGGCACTGGAACCCTAGTCTGGGAGTTGTGATGTGGGGCTGGGATCCTTTGCTGCCAAGGCATCCCTCCTGCTTTTTATCCACCGCACATGGGTGTGGGACTGCCGGATCTGTGTCTCCATGTCTCTGCCCCTCCTACCCATCTAGATGAATGTTTCTTCTTTAATTCCTTAGTTGTCAGACTTCCATACAGCTTGATTTTCTGACAATTCTGGGTGACAGTTGTTTTGCAGTTTAGTTGTAATTTTTGCTGTGGTTGTGGGAGGAGGTGAGCCGTGTTTACCTGGGCCTCCATTTTGATGGAAGTGCACCCATCATTTTAGAATGATGTTAATTAATTAACCAACCTGTGATTGTCCTGAGATCAATACCCAGGAATTAGAAACTACCTAAGGGAGCCTACATTCAGCATTTATGTTTAATTAAAATCTGAAGATTGTCTGAAGGCAGTGGGAAAGCCCCTGGCTGGTAAGAAGTGCAGTGCCTTGACCTCCCCCTCAAAGGCACAGCTGCACTGATCCTAGGCATCTATGAGCAGGGCCACATCTCCTGACTGCTTTTCAATTCTGACCCCTGGGGCAACCAGAACTGCAGAAACTTCTCTCCAGAAAACCAAACACTGATGACCATTTCCAGAGAATGGGGGAAAGATGAGGGTACTGGCTGGTGAATGAGCCCTTCCAGGGAGGGCGTGACACCCATCCCGGTTGTTATAAAGGCTGGACTGAGGAGGGAAGGCTGTTCCTTGTAGGACCCTTAGAAGGATGATGCTGGAATCCAGCTGAGCTTGTTTTCTGCCAACAGGAGGCTGGGCAATGGGAAGGCCTTAGCTATTTGCTGAACGAACAACTGAGTCACCATCCTTAGCAAGGGCCTAAGGTGTGGCCTCAGTGACCTGTGGCTGAACCTGCCACAGACTAGCCTTGTCCAGATAAGCCAAAAGGGACCCAGACTGTTGTGGACCACTCTGCCTGGTTCCAGGAGTTGTAACTACCACCCATGGTTAATGATGAGCTAGCAACCTCTGGAATGAAAGCTGCAGGAGACAAGGCTTGTCATTGGTAGCAAATGCTGCCTCAGTTTCCTCCCTGCCCCCAAAGCATGGTCGGAAGTCCTTGATGGGTAAGGCCCCTCAGAGGAGGGGCAACCAAGGCCAGACACAATCACTTGGGAGGCCATCAAGGAAGGACTTTGGGGGGGGAGCTGCAACAAAGAGCAATGGACTCTCAACTCAGGCTTTGAGATAACCCAAGTCCCCATGTTCTCTGGGAGAAGCGCTTCCTGTCTCCAATCCACTTAAGCCTGATTACCTGATGGAGAAGGGTGCAGCTCCTCGCCTTGCTAGAGCATGTCCTGGGGGAAAATCTGGCATCACAAAGACTTCCTGATAAACCTGTGAAATCTGCTCTGCTAAGAGTGCTTTCATTCCTATATTAGGGGTTCGAGCAGGAAACTCTAAAACTCTGTTCCTGACAGTGACTCAGACTAAGCCCTCAGATTTCTTTCAAATGTTATCTACTGTTTGATCCTTGCCACCCTGTATTCCTGTGTATTACAACCCAATAAAAGCCCCTGGAGGAAGGGGCTCGAGGCCTTTTTCCTCTGAAAAACTGGCCATCTTCAGGCCTTTTTCCTCGGAGAAACTGGCCACTTCTCCTCCCCAAACAGATTGTGTCTTGGTAGTGTGTTGCGGACCGCTTTGCCTGGTTTTAGGAATCATAACTCTACCCCCCATGGCTGAGGATGAGCTAGTGACCTCTGGAATGCCAGCCACAGGAGACAAAGCTTGTCTCTGGTAGCAAATGCTGCCTCAGTTTCCTCCCTGCCCCCAAGGCTTGGTCGGAAGTCCTTGACAGGTAAGACCCCTCAGAGGAGGGGCAACCTAGGCCAGACTCCATCACTTGGGAGGCCATCATGGAAGGACTCGGGGGCTGTGACAAAGAGGAAGTGATGGACTCTTGCCCCCCCCCCCCCCCCGGCTTTGACAAAGCCCGAGTCCCCACGTCCTCTGGGAGAAGCACTTCCTGTCTCTAATCCCCTGAAGCCTGAACACCCCCTGTCTCTAATTCCTTTAAGCCTGATGAGGAGGGGTGCAGCTCCTTGCCTTGCTAGAGCATGTCCTGAGGGAAAATCTGGCATCACAAAGACTTCCTGATAAACCTGTGAAATCTGCTCTGCTAAGTGTGCTTTCATTCATATGATAAGGGTTCAAGCAGGAAATGAGTATGTCTCCCAAAGTTTCTGCAAAACCCCCTTTCCTGACAGACACTGACTCAGACTAAGCCCTCAGACTTCTTTGAAATGTTATCTACTGTTTGATCCTTGCTGCCCTGTATTCCTGTGTATTACAACCCAATAAAAGCCTCTGGGGGAAAAAGCTCAACCCCTTTTTCCCCTTGAGAAACTGGCCACTGCTCAAGGCCTTTTTCCTCTGGGAAACTGGCCACCTTTCCTCCCCAAGCAGATCATATCATGTCTCAGTCATGTTTACTTTCATCCGTGGCACACGGGGGGACTTTCTAGGAAAGTCACCCCCACACCAGATCCCACTGGGAATTGGGGCAGAGAGCTCTCATGTGAACCAGTGAAAGCACTGTTTTTGCAAGTCACCTTCAATCCTAAACCAAGAGTCTTCACTCTACTTGTTACCTGTGTGACCTTGGGCAAGACGCTTTACCTTGGGGAGGAGAGGTCTAAGCCTCAGTTTCCTTGGCACAGGTCATATGAACCTCTCAGGTCTGTGTGAGAGTTTGATAAGGTGCTACAAGGAAAACGCTTAGACTAGTGTCTCCAAGCCTGGCCTGACGTACATTACAATCTCCCAGTACTTTCTGGAAGTCTCCTTTGGACAAATCAAAAAGGTTCCCTGGGCTGAATAGCAAGCAGCTCAGGATCACCAGCAAATGAGCCACGGGGAGGGACAAGAAAGGATGGGGTCTGCAACAGGACACAGCCCCCGCCTCTTCTTCCACCACCAGAAAGCATTGTTTGGAAGTCTGAGGAGACCATGTAAGAGTCATTTGTGACAAACCCATGAAGCAGGTTTACAAAGTTCTCTCTTGGCCCTTGCAATTCTGGCCCCACTGTTCTAGGAAGAACCCAAAGCAGAAAAGCATGGCTCCCCCATGTGCCCCACTCTCCCCTTTTGTGATTGTGAAGGGCCTGCTGGTATAGCCAGCTGGTTGCCTGCACGCCACACCATGCTGGGCCCTGTGGTGTGTGCCTTTCATGACAGTCTCAGAAAGGAGAGAGGGATTGTTCATCACCAGAAACTTCTGAAATAACAGTGGAAAGCCCCAGGAATCAATCGCAAGCGGGCTCCTAGCCCGACTGACTGGAGTCTGCCTATGGGTGTGAAGGATGGATCCTCTGGGCAGGTGTTGAAGAGACAGGGGGGCAGGCAGTGGTTGGGACTCAATTTGCCATTAGTCCAGGCTTCTTGTCCAGGGCAGAGTTAACACCAGGCATGACTGATGCAGGAGACACAGCAGTCTGACGGGGCTGCCCTTGTGTGTAAGTTTGTCTTCTATTTGAGCCCTTGACTATTTCCACCTTGCAGGGCTTCTGATCTGAGGTTCTGATCCAGGTCTGGGCCTCTTCGATGACCCTGAGGAAACCATCTCTTACCACCTAGACCCATCAAGACCAACCCCCTCTCCCGGAACCTTCCTCTGCTCAGAACTTTTGGTGAAGATGGGAGATTGGAACAAGTAGCATGCCTATCTACTTGCTTTTCTAGTTCACTGATTTTCTCTCTCATCGGTACTATTTCCTATTTCTTTTTTTTTAGGTTTTGATTTACTATTTCTTTTCTAACTTCTTAAAATGGAAGCTTGAATTACTGATTTTTCAGCCTTTCTTCTTATAGAGGCCTGTGAAACTCCCTCTGCGCACTGCATTAGCTGCGTCCCACAAGTCTGATACATCATATTTTCATATCTTGTTTGTAATATATTTCACTTAAAAATATTTTTAGAGAGAGGAAGCGGGTAGAGAGAGGGGGGCAACATAGATTTGTTGGTTCGCTTATTTGTACATTCACTGGGTGATTCTTGTGTAAATATGTGCTCTGACGGGGAGCTGAACCCACAACCCTGACGTATCAGGATAACACTCTAACCCATTAAGCTACCCAGCCAGGACCTCACTCTTTTCTGATAAATTAAAATATTCGGACCAAGTCCTGAATTCCAATTTAAACTTAAGTTCATCTTGCTTTATTTCCAGAATTACTTGGCTGGAGAGATTATCTGTAAAATGACTTGGAAGAGTCAACCTCCTGGGATTTTTGGATTCCTAAATGCAACAGAAGAGGGTCAAAAGGAAAATTTTGATGACTCTTGCCTCTGTTTTTGATATACTCTTTCAATTACATAAAAAAATTTAAAAATGGTTTCTTAAAATGAACCTAGTAAATCATTCAAGGAATTATCCAGTGCCTGTAGAGTAAGCCTTACTTTAAAACACACTTAACGCAAATTCACAGAAAATCCACCCATGTTGCACAAAATGAAGAGCTTAGAAATAGCAACTCTCTGCATGTTGTTGATCTAGGCTTAGGACACTTATTTCATGTCACTGTGGTCATTTACAGTTGTTTAGACTTCTTTTCAATCACATTACTGTCCACATAATTCACAGAATTCATTAACCAAACAGTATGCTACACCCCAGGGTTTTCAGAAACACAGCAACTTGGAAAAGAGTTGTGCTTGTGTGTCTGATTACTTAGAACTCAAGTGCTTGAGTTCTAAGTCTGATTACTTAGAACTCACATCTGATTACTTACTTAGAACATTACTGCTTCATTAGTCCTATTTATAAAATCACACTGTTCCCAGGAAACCCACCCTGCCAGGTGTTCTTCACTGAGTTCCCTCATGGTACACCTGACATGTGGGTGCTGACTAAAGCCCCCATGTGTCAGTATGTTCTCTGCTGCTCCCAGGGCTGGCCAAGGTGGAGCAATATATACGTGTGTAAGTATTTTCTGCAGCTTGCCATTTTCCAACCTGGTCTTGCAGTGAATGGACTGCGTCTCTATGTAAAACTTAAGATATAAACGAGAGGCTCAGGGAATAGGGACTAATGTCCCTACAACAGCCACTGACCATGCAGGAAAGAACATCTGAAGTAACAGAAATACCTCATGTTTCAGGGTGTAAGAAATGTTTTAAAGAAAATGATGTCCTGGGTGATTATGGTTTAAGGTGGCAGCTTTGTGACATGAATTTGAAGACTTCTTGGTAGATCTGAAGGCTAGCTTTTCTTATTTTGTCTCACATGAGTTCCTTTTTTGTGAAAAACACCTTGGAGATTTTTTGTGGCCCCCAAAGCTCTGTGGATCTGACTGGAGACAGGGGACCCGCTTCCTTGGGATGCCGGTGCTCTGAACCCCCCTGGGGCAGAATCCCTGAGAAGTGGTGGCTGCATCAGATTTGGGAGGTGGGAGCAGATGTGGTGTGCGGATTGCAGGCTGCAGTCCAGGCCTCAGTCTAGCTTCTTGTTGTTTTCTAGATTGTGCACAGAAGTTAAAAAGTCGACGATGAGCTTGGCTGTCTTCCTGGGTTTCTCCACCACAACTGAGTGCCCACAGTTTTCCAGAAGTTCTACCTGGCAGTTGGCGATCGACTTGGCCAACGTGTCTGCCCCAGACACATTGACCACCTGTAAGACAAGAAAGGAAACCATGGAAAAGATTCAGATACCTGGGCGCACTCAGTGGACAGAATTCCTACTGAGACCTGGTTTTTAGGATCAAGTCACTTAAGTGTTAGGGCTCTGGCTCTCTGAGAGAAGTGATGGCATGTCTCGTGGGTTTTTTTTTATAATTAAGATTTTATTTATTTATTTGTTTTTAGAGAGAGGGGAAGGGAGGGAAAAAGAGAGAGAGAAACATCAATGTGTGGTTGCCTCTCACGTGGTCCCCACTGGGGACCTGGCCTGCAACTCAGGCATGTGCCCTAACCAGGAATCGAACCGGCAACCCTTTGGTTCACAGCCCGTGCTCAGTCCACTGAGCTACACTAGCCAGGCATGTCTCATGTTTTATATTGCAACTGAATGGCAGCAGTTGGGATGCTACCAGCATTACTGAAGTAGAAAAGTACAGGCCCTGCCTGTGAGGAGGTTCTGGCCTGGTAGGGAAGACAGAGAGGTCATCAGACAAAACAGTGTGATGTCACAAGGGTTCTGATGGGGAAGGGTCCGGAAAGCTGAGGGAGCAGAGAGGAGTAGAATTCATGGAAGAGGGTGGGAGATCCGTGAATGGGTTATAGTGGCAGGTGCACTATAAGATGCTGGAGGCAGATCCTGCCTGTCCTGGTCCCTACTGCATCCCCAGGGTCTAATACAGTGTCAGGCACATACTAGGTGCTCAGTAAATATCTGTTAGTTGACTTAAATGTATAGGCAGTCAGCTGGCGGGTTCGTCTTACCCACTCATTCTCTGTGCACTCTGGGTATCTTGTAGCAGGCACTGTGCTGGCAGGGAGAAGGGACATAAAGAGAAATACTTTGTTTATCTCCCCCAGGTTATCCCCCTCTGGTGGACTGAATATAGATTTCCACACGCGTGTGCAGAAATCCTCTCAGGAAGGTCTGCCAGGTTCAGTTGTGTGCCAGTGGACCGCCGAAGCCAGGGGGCGTCCTTCACAAAGACGACAGTGCACACAGCTCCCCTGCGGGTGTGCAGTACCGCGGCCGGCCTACAGGGGTCCAAAGAAGAGGGAGCCTGAACTCCGCCTGGCTGGAGGTGAGCCTGTGACACCAAATGTTGATGACAGAGTAGGAAAAAGCCAGCTTGGGTAGCAAAAGGCCATGAAATAAAGGACCCTGAAGCCTCCGCCCTCAGGATGGTCCAGAGAACACATAAGGATCTGATTATATTTACAGCAAGCCCATGGAATGTTAGGCTCTTTTCCCAGAGTCCCAGAGGCAATTCTGGACCTTGGACAGAAACCAGCTATCAGAGGCAAAGGCTGTGAATAATAAGTAACTCCTTTTATTTCTGATAACTGGAGAAAGATCACCTGCATGTATGAGATAAGGCGAAACTAGGTTTATAGTTGTGAATACATGAAAGTTTATTCTTGCATTTTTATTACTGTATTATTTTCCATATGAACAACTGTAAACCTACTTTTGCCCCACCCTATATGTTGTCTGACTTCAGCCTCACAATCACCCCAGTAGTAGAAGAGAAACCTATGATTTAGAGCAGCCAAGTGACTTGCTCAAGGTCACAGGCTAATAGAGGGCAAAGGCAGGGCTGCACTCCAGACTTCGAGACTCCAAAGCCAGTGATCTAGTTTCTGCAGTGTCTCTGCAGGGTGCTGGGTTCTCAGCTCTCTCTCCTTGTTGGTGCCTGAGAAACAAAAATTATCTTGGGGATTTTTACAATGAAGAAAGGCCTTCATTGTTCTGCCTCTGATTTCTGATTGAATGACTCCCACTGGCCCAGCCTGAGTCCTACTTCTCAGGGGCATACAAAGCTTCTTTGAGCATCTTGGCTGCTGCATCCAGGAGCACGTGAGCACCCCTCCTCTCCCCACACCCTCACTCTGCACTGTGCAGCCGGGCCACACCTGGCTGGTTTGGGGCAGCTGCAGTCTGGATGCCGTCACTGCTCCCTCTCCCGCACCCGCACCCGCACCCGCACCCGCACCCGCGGCGGGCGGCAGGCTAGGGCCTGGCTTCTCCTCCAGGCCTCCTCTCCACTCCCCCACAGTCACAAGCCTTGGTGGCTACAGCCTGACATCCTGCCTGTGCTTTCACCAGCAGACACAGTTGGTATGTGCCACCACCCCGGCAGGGCTCACAATGGTGGCTTTCACGTGGGGACCTTAGAGAAACTGTCTCAATGGGGACAGCTTTTCTATAATATCCTTCCCTCATAATATTCAACGGCAAAGACTCCAGGATATTCTCTAACATCCACTGTAATTCTGTCTGCCTGTGGGCCTTTTCTCACTGCCTCGTCTTGCATTAAACTTGAGAATAACTTTATAAACAAGCCAAAAAAGGAGCTTCTGGCCCTGGCTGGGTGGCTCATTTGGTTTGAGCATCAGCCTGATACAAAGGCTGCAGGTTCAGTCCCTGGTTAGGGCACGTACAAGAAACAACCAATAAATACGTAAGTAAATGGAACAAGAAATCGATGTTTCCCTCTCTCTAAAATCAATCAATAAAATTTTTTAAAAGAAGGAGAAAAGGAGCTTTTGGATATAAATGTGTATTTCTTTGGAGGGTTTATTATAGATTGACTGTGTCTTCCCCAAATTCATATGTTACAGTTCTAACTACTGGTACTTCAAAATGTGACTTTGTGTGGAAGCAGGATCACTGAAGATGTGATTAGTTAAGATGAGGTCATACTGTAACAGAGTGGGTCTCTAACCAGTAAAACTGGCCTCCTCACAAAAAGGGGGCATTTAAACACAGAGACACAGAGGAGCAGGGGGATGCCATTTGAAGATGAAGGCATGGCACCCAGGGTGAGGCACCTGTTAGCCAAGGGACAACAAAGATTGCCAGCAAACCATCATGCACTAGGGGCGAGACATGGAACATACTCCCCTTCCCAGCTCCCAGAAGGACCAACCTGCTGACCGACACCTTCATTTCAGACTTCTAGCCCCAGGACTAAGAGACAATCAATTTCTGTTGTTCAAGCCACCCAGTGTGTGTGGTACTTTGTTACGCAGCCCTTGCAAAGGAACATAAAGCCATCTGACAAAACATGCTCTTTGACCCAGTGATTCTACGTCTAGAGATTTGCCCTTCAGGTATGTTTTCACGTTCCACAAACACACGCATGATGGTGCTCAACGAGCTACTGTTTAATAGCAAAAAGCTGTGCTCGCTTCGGCAGCACATATACTAAAAACTGGAATGATACAGAGATGAGCATGGTCCCTGCACAAGGATGACATGCAAATTCATGAAGCATTCCATATTTTTTAAAAAATAGCAAAAAGTTGGAAATGACCTGATTGTCAGAAGGGCACTAATTAAAAACATGATGGCAGAACCACACGACGGAATACTATACAGATCTTAAAAAGAAGAAGGATGTAAAACATTGTTTTGGGCAAGAATCACTCATGGGTGGTAAATCTAGAGGGAATGTTTGAGGAGGAGCAGTCTCTCTATCTGCACGGTCTCAGAGTGTCGTCCCGCAGCCTGCTGATTGGGTGCAAGGGGAGAAACAGTAACCCTACAATGAAGAAACCAGGCAACACCCTGCTGTGTGTCTGAGGATCTAACCTTTGTGACTCTCATATTTTAGCCTCGGAATATAATATAACCTGACGTTAATCATGCGGTAGGAGCAAACAAACTTAAATTGAGGAACATTTCATAAAATAACGGGCCTTTAATTTTAAATACCTCAGCATCATGAATGCTGTTTTTAACAGATCAGTTTTGTAATTAGGGTTTTCCAAAGAAATTTAGGCCCTGGCTGGTGTAGCTCAGTGGATTGAGCATGGGCTGTGAACCAAAGGGTCGCCAGTTTGATTCCCAGTCGGGGCACATGCCTGGGTTGCAGGCCAGTTCCCAGCAGGGGACACACGAGGGGAAACCATACATTGACATTTCTCTCCCTCTCTCCTTCCCTTTCCCTTTCTCTAAAAATAAATAAATAAATAAAATCTTTTTAAAGAAATTTAGAACTTCATTTTGTGAGAATAAAGCCCATTTGTGAGATCAAACACAGAGCAGAGGTAGCCTTAGAGCTGGGGAACAGCTTTGATTTTTGGCAGAATTTGTGAGTCCATGGCTTTCTGATCAACCTTGCGTTGCTCTGTAATCTTGTATTTCTCTTTCTCGGTGTTGAAGATTTCCCCATCCTGGTATCTCAGTTTGTGCAGCTGCTTCTTCTTGAAGTAAACATCAGTGAGATTCTTGGGGATTTTCACACCACTGATACCAATTTTGGTGGGGGTGGTGATGACAAATTTCTGGCGTATTCTACGCCAAGGAACTCAATGAAGGGTCAGAGGTCCAATCGCAAGTAGCAGGCCACTGCTCAGCTGCTTCAGGAAAGCCACCCCCTTGCCTGTGTGGCCCCAGTGCGAGTGATCAGAATGGTCCCGGGAGTGACTCGGGCCCACAGTTTTCTCACATGCTGGCCGAGGGGTTTCTTGCCATGGCTTAACAGCTCTTGAGGTACATCTTCAGTAGGGTAGCATTTAGACATTTTGCGAAGTTTAACCACTCGGGTACCACCATTCTTGTCACTACAAATTGGTTCAGTGATAGCAGCCATAACTTTCTCCTTCTTCTTCCTTTCAATCCTGGATTTAGCTGTGGAATACTTCCTCTTGCACAAGGCCTTTCAGGAATACATTGCTGACCAGGAATACCTGCCGCATCTTCTGACTAGGACAGGGTTTGGGCTGCAGTGGGGCTTCCCCTTCTTAGGTATCTTGGCTTTCAGGTTCCCCTTCTTAGCCTTGCCACCCACACCAGCCTTCTTGGCTTTAGATTTCTTCTCCTTAGTATCTGGCTTCTCAGTTTTTGCACCAGCCATATTGCAAAGTGGGAAAAAGAACTGAAGTGCTGGCTTCCGGTCTATAAACAAACATGGAGAGCTGCAGGTTTTGTTAAAAAGAAAAAGTTCACTGGACTCCGCCATGCCATTGGTTTGCATGTGGTCTATGGATGTGCTGGCACCACTATAGCAGAGTTGGGTAGTTGTGACGGACCATATGCCTGCACAGTCAAAGATTCTACTGTCTGGCCCTTCACAGAAAATGTTTGCCAACCCCTACCTTAGAAAACTTAAAAAGCTCATATACACAGGACAGTAAGTGTTGCCTCAAGGAAATGAAAATAGGGATGTGGGATTTTCATTTTAAACCTTTTTGTAGTCTCTAAAGTTCTCTATACCATGTGACTGTATGGTTTTGATAAAAATAATTTATAAAAACGATTTACAATTGCCTTTCATTCTAAAAGACCAATGTCGTTGCTCTCGACTCACTGAACGATGCTGCCATATTACACTGGCACCTGACCGGGGTGTATCCCACCTCTTCCCGGTATTGGAAACCAGCCAGCCAGGCTGACCGGCCACACAGCCACCTGCTTGTCCTCAGATGCTGGAATAACTGGCACAGGGGCCCCAGGGACACACTACATACCTGGTCTTGCTTCCCCCAGATGACCTGCATTGGGACCTTGATCTTGTCCATGTTCTCATGGAGGGAGTATCTCGACTTCTCACTGATGAGTTCCAAAAACACTTTTTAGAAAAAGAAAACAAAGTAAGCAAATGCCAGGCTGTGTCTGTGGGCACCCCTGTACAGCACAGGGCAGTCATCGAGTTTCAGCCTCCACTTCTCTTCAGGGGATCGAGAAAGCAGACTCAGAACATTAGAAATAAAAGCCAGCCACCCACAAAGCCTCACTTGTCACAGCTCAAAGCTTAAGGCAGGGCTACTCACGCTTTCGATAGAAGCTGTTATGAGGGATGCGGACATCAACAAGGCCTTGCAGAATCTAAGGAGAAATAATCCAAAGTTAGAAGGCAAGAGAAGATTCATTTCTTCAGGCTTCTCACGGCTCTGGGGCAATGAAGAAAATAAAAGTCTAGATATTCATGGTATTGCCAACATTTTCAAGGCCTTGTTCTCCGAATTCCCATGATATAGTATAATATTAACTAACTGCTCAATAATATCGAAATGTGGAATAAGGTCTATTAAAAATTAAACTGTTGGGGATAATGAGCCTCTTAAACAAAAAAGAAATAAACTATTCGGAATGTGGGAAGGATTCCAACGTCCCTTGCTTATTTTTTGACACTGTCTTTTCCATCCCTGCTGAGGTCTATGAAAGCTACAGCAATGGACAGGCCAGATCTCTTGAACCCAGATCCTGACCCACAGCAGGCTATGGCAGAAAGAACACAGCCCTCCTCTTCCTCCTGCTTCAGGGCTCTTGAGGTAGGGTCCAGGGTTCACATTATCAGCCAGCACTGTTCCCATTTCCCTGGGAATGGTTGGAACCTCTTAAAGGCACTCAGAAGTCCAGTGCATGGATTAAAGTGGGGAAAATCAGCCATAACTGATTTGGACCAAACCAACCCTCTGGAGCAGGACTAGAATCTAACCAGTATTAGAACTGGAAGTCCAGAGGTGAGACCAATGGCAAGCTGCCCAACACACTGTGCTCAGCATCAGACATTTTCTTTGTTTTATCTATTCTGTACCCATGCATCATATCCATCTTGCATCCATCCATCCTTTCCTCACCTCTGCTCCACCCACCTATCCATCCATCCTTCCCACATCTCTGAATCATATATGCATACGTTTACCCATGTATCCATCTACCTGCATCTACCAATCCACCTAATCTCCATCCCTGCATCCTCCAGGCATCCTCCTATCCAGCCACCAAGCATTCAGCCCATCATCTATCATGCATCCTAAATCACCTATGCATGAAAATACATCAATTCATGCATCCGCCTATCCTGCATGTACCCACACATCTATTCCCCATTCCTGCATTATCCAGGCATCCTTGAAGCCATTGATCCATCCAATCCATACCTAACACCTACTGCATGCAAGTACTATGCCAAAGGCTGGGGATGAACAGGCAGTTAAGACAAAGTCCCTGATCTTACAGAGCTCAGAGTAGAAGATATAAACAGACAGACAGACAATCATAACACAACGTGACACAGTGGGCTGGGTGCTTGGGTGCGCCTTTTCTTCTAAAAGGGAAAGACTTTGGAGCTGCCATTTCTTTTCTCCTGGTATTTTCATATCCCTGACAACTCAAAACTTGGAATTTTTTAAACACCCAAATCCCCCCCCCCCTTCCCCTCTAATATAAATAATAATATAAAAAAAAAAAAACACTGTTTGTCCACTCTATTCTGGGAAGAGATAGGTGCTGGGAGGAAATCAGCGCAGCTTCACAACTAAAAAGGATGTCAAGGATAAAACATACCACAGAATCAGGTCCTCGGAGCTTCTCAGAGACAGGATACACCTGTTAACTGAGCTATGTTCACAACCTCTGAATAGAGCCCATTCTTTCGCCTCCTAGCAGGACTTACCGCACCCTGAGGCAGGGTCCAGCTCCCACAACAGAGATGATTTGCTGTTAAGAAGCCTCGGCCATGGATTATCCTCTCTTGGTTTTCTACTCTTTCCCAAGATGACCTCATGCAGACCCAGGTCCTTTAATATAATCATTGGCTGGTGGCTCAAAATGTCTAGCTCTGGACCAGACTTCCCTCGGCAATACTTGTATATCCAACTGCCTGCTTGACACCAGCACTTGGAGGCCTCACAGGCAACTCGACCTTAACACACCCCGAATGAAGCCTTTAGCTTGTCCCCCAAACTCACACTCCCTCTCCTCTTCCTATTCAGAAAATGCTGTGTTTATCCAACCCAAGCACCAGAAGTACCTGTGACTCCTCACCTTCCCTCATCCTCCACCTCCAGTTTGCCACTAAGTCCTCTCTGTTCTTCCTCCCGAAGCATTTCAGATCTCCTGGCTCCACTTTACCACCATCATCTTTGCATGCAGCCATTGTCTTTAAGCCACAAGGACACCCTACTGGGTTTCCCTGCTTCTGTCTGTACTCCCCCACAGTCCTTCAGGGGTTCTCCTACTGTACTTAGAAAACCCCGACTCCTCCCCATAACCCATAAGGCCCTCCATGATCTAGCCCAGTGGCTCTCAAAGTGGATCTTGGGAAGCTGTGAGGTCAAACTATTTTCATAATACTAAATGTTACTTGCCTTTTTCGCTTTCATTCACTCAAAAGCATATTGTTTTTCAGAGCCTACATAACAAGGGGTAATGTGACTCTGTTTTAAGTTTTTCTGAGTTTTAATTTCTAATATGATAAATGGATCCATAGTTATAATTGTCACAAACAAAAGCTCTTTGGGGTTTTCAATAATTTTTGAGAGTATAAAGTAGTTCTGAGATTAAAATAAATCGAGACCCTTTGATTTAGTCCATACCTCCCTTCCAAAGTCATCCATCCCATTCTCTCCCTTGTACTCTAGGCTCCAACTGACCTGGGATCCTTCTAGTGTCTGACCTTGCCTACGTTTTTTTCACTTCTGAACATGCTGTTCCCTCAATGAGGATTCTTAAATCTTCCTCTGACTCCCTGTTTTTATCCACTGCACCAGCTTCATTTCCCCTAGAGAATGTATTATAACTTGTAATAATTTGTTTACTTTTTAATTATTTGCCTCCCACTAGCCTGTGTCCACCCAGGGACACTTCTGTGTTATTTATTTACCGCTGCGGCCAGCACGGTGCCCAATGTGTCGCAGACACCGCACAGACACAGGAGGATGGATAAAGAGATAAGCACAAGGGAAGGGGTGCGTGAAGGAAGCTGGTGCTGGCCCCCTCAGCCTCTGGCAGAAAGCAGGCATTTTGCTGCTCAGATCACAGTACCTGCTTGGGCACCTTGAAGCGGACGTAGGAGCAGAGCTGGAGCAATTCACTCATCTCTTCTGGGGTGGTTGGGATCAGAGGAATCTTCTCTGCAGAGGCCAAGTCCTGCATTTCTTTGAGCCCTTGTATGAACTGATTATCACTTGAGTACTTCAGGCCTGTGGGGTTCAAACATACACTGCTTGGCAATCCATCCACCCTCTTAACAACCCCCATTTTGTCGAGGGAAATTCTAGTATCAGCCAAGAGCCAATATATTTCAGGTGTCTGGGGTTTTTTTTATACCAGATTCCCTTTTGTTTATTTTATTTTTAGATTTTATTTATTTATTTATTTCTCTTTAGAGGGGAAGGAGAGAGGGAGAGAAACATCAATGTGTGGTTGCCTTTCATGCATCCCCTGCTGGGAACTGGCCTGCAGGGAACCTGCCTGCAACCTGGACATGTGCCCTGACTGGGAATCAAACCATGATCCTCTGGTTCGCAGGCCTGTGCTCAATCCACTGAGCTAAACCAGCCAGGGCTCCAGATTCCCTTTTAAATGGTAATGCCGTCCTTGCTCAAAGTTCAAAACCACACTCTGAGGTGAAACACAGAAAAATCCTTCAAGATATTTTAGGGACTGGTGCCTCAAGCTGTGGTCCAAGGACCCGCAGCACTGGGAGCAGATAGGAAACACAGACTCTCGCCCACCCCAAGCTCCCGACTCAGACTCTGCACTCTAAGAGCTGTCAGGAGACTTAACTGTATGATAGTTTAAGAAGCATCAGTCTGGGAGATGACGTGCCTGAGCCCCTTTCACAGCTGTGTCACTGAGGGCAGGTCTCACAAAATGCATGATGGTAGAAAACAGAATTTAAGGGACCGACTACTCCCCTTGGCCAGGACTCACTTAGTAATCTCTCTCTCTCTCTTTTTAAACCTTTATTTAGAAAGAGCGGGAGAGAGGAAGAAAGAGAGGGAGAGAAACATCAGTGTGAGAAACATTGATCTCTGACTGGGGCCCAAACCTGCAAACCAGTTATGTGCCTTGACCAGGAATCGAACTGGCGACCCTTCGTTTCAGAGAATGAAGCCCAACCAACTGAGGCATACTAATCAGGGCAGTAATCTCTCATTTGAGATTAATATACAAAACATGGTGAGAGCAAGTCTGATTCTGAGCCACCCCCTGCAGTGGCTGCCCTCCACACAGTCTCCCTCCAGGACAGCGTCAGGCAATGGCTGACACCGAAAAGCTCTGAGAGATGGACCGTTGTTTCCTGCACCCTGGAGCGTGACGCGCCACAGTTCACACAAGCTGGTGCATACACAGGAGGGCAAAACCGATTTCACTTCCAACAGTGAGCAGATTTCCAGGTGTATAACTTAGCTGAAGAACTAGATTTTAGAAAGGCAATGGTCTCAATTCTAGGCTACAGAAATCCACACATTATACATCTCCTGTCTTCAGTAACACCTTCAAATCTAACACGGGAATATAATGTGGCCTGCACAAGGCCAGATGGGCAGATTACATGATTTATTTCCTTCTGTCTTAAAAATAATCCTCGATTACATGTCATGTGGTATCCTGCACTGGACCCTCAAACAGAAAAAGGACATTAATGGAAAAACTAATGAAATCCAAGGAAAGCCTGGAGTTTAGTTCATAGTGACGTACCGGTGCTGGTTTCTCAGTTGTGACAAGTTCACTGTGGTCATGTGAGCTGTTAACAATGGGGAACCTGGATGAAGGGCAGGTGGAACTCTGTACTACCTTTATAACATTTCTGCAAGTGTAAACTTTTTTCAAAGTAAAAAAAGTTTACCTTTCCATTTTCACATACAAAGAATTTTAAATTTCCAATTGAAACTCAGGCGTAAAACTCTTTGAACAAATGAACATATACTCAAAAAAGCCAGTTAGCTCTGACCTTTCATAAGTGATTTAAAATCTAATAACCTTCCATAGGGGATGTTTCTCCAATTCTCAAACTTTATTACTAAAAGACCAAATGATTTCAGACATGGTGCTTGGGAAGAGGAGAAGAGAAAATCCATTGGGAGCTTGACTTCAATTTCAATGTCCTTAACAGACCTGAAAACTATTTACTTTCAGAGTAACCAAAAGATTTTAAGGGCCAGTTTAGCTGTGTTTTAGTGGAAGGTACACATGTTCAACTTAAAGCTGGGTTCTAGTTGGTAAAGCAGACAGTGGACATGAATCACACAAAGGAGGGAGTAAACACAGAAGGACTTCCAGAAAAGTCACAGCTTGGGTTCTACAGCTGGACAGCCTAGGATCGGTACCTATTCTGGCTCAGGCACTAAAGTAATTTCTTTGTACCTCAACGTTCCTACTAATAATATGTTGATCTGGATATAATTACATATGTAAAAAATCACTGAGATAGTACATTTAAAATTTATGTAAGTCAAACTCCAATGAGGTACCAAAGAGAAAGGAAGCAAGAGAAGGAAAAAAGAAAAAATTAAGATTTTCTCTCTAATATATTATACATCCAAGTTTAAAAATTTATGTAAAAAATGAATTTTAAAAATCTAACTTCAGATCATGATTCCTGGGGACATGTTATACTTCAAGTTGACATGTATACAAATGAGAACAGAGAAACAAAAGTTTGCTGATTTTTTAAAAAAAGACCTTGTAATGAATAAAGGTCTTTGAATTTTCAGCCAAAAAGAAGAGAGGCATAATAATAGCCTCTTTACCTCATAAGGTTATGACTATGGTGAGAATTACCTCTATATAAAGAGCTTAGCTCAGAAGAGCTCAATAAATGTTAGATATTACTATTATCACTATATTTCAAAGCATTTTTGTGCTACAAAGTACTATACACATTTTAATTAACCACCAAATTCTTTGTGGAACAAGTCTGGCTCTACAGTTTATAAGTCAGTGTCTTGGGATTATGGCCAGATAACTGTTGTTTGGTTAGTTATCACAAAAGTATTGCCTATCTCCAAAGGTCACAACAAAAGATGATGCTAAGAACCAGTCAGAGCAGACACTGCCACCTGTTCCTTCAGAGATTCAGACTCTGTTGTGCTCGAGTCACTCATGGAGACATTGTAGCTTGGTAACTCACCAGCAGGGCACACAAGAGACAGGCTGCAGACATCTGATGGGTAGTAAGCAGCATACACCCCGGCCACGCTGCCACCCATGGAGGAACCTATCAGGTGGAATGGTTTTCTGTTCAGCTTGAGACATTCCACAAACTGGGAAGGCAAACGAGAAGGATGCTTGGTTATTGAGCCGTAGACAGTGACAACAGTGATTACAGATCAAAAAGCCTCTATTGCCTCTGCAGACCAGTGAAAAGGGCTATGATGAAAGGCGGTCTGGAACTCTACTAGGTCCATTACCCAGAAGAGCCCAAGGCAGGTGTGCACTTATCTTTATCTGGCACAAGTGACTGGGGGGTTATTTATGAGCACAAACCCAAAGATTCTCCTATTTTGTGAGTCAGCAAACTCTTCTATAAACATCCTGAGTGTAAGTATTTTCTGTTCCATGAACCGTATGATTTGAGTTGCAATTACTCAACTCTGCTGCTGTAGCACAAAAGCAGCTAAAGACACACCATAAAGGAATGAGCATGGCTATGTTCCAATGAAACTTGGCTTACAAAAATAGGCAGCAGGCCTAATATAGCCCATGGGCCATGGTGTGCTGACTACTGCCCTAATTCAAAGTCATTCTCATCCATCCAACCATATGCATTCATATAACCATCTCCCCATCCACCTGCCCATCCAGCCATCCAACCAACCATCCACTGATGTTTCAGATAAACATCAGTTACCTAAAAAATATTCACTGGATACCTGTTATGTGTAAGGAACTAAAGTTAATCATAGAAGATACAACAAAGAATCAAAGAGACACGTTTCCTGACCTCATCAAAACACAATTTCATGGGGTGGGAGGACACATTAAACATATCCTTGTCTGGGGAAAACATCTCATGTCAATTTGAAGCTTGTGGACTACTACATTCTGAAATGGTCCATGAGCCTCATGACCATGAAAGCCAGCCAGAGAGGGGCTGAAGATGGATACTGAAATAGAACAAAATAAAAGTTCACCTTCCTCATCTTCCACAACTAGGCAGAAGGGCTATTGCTGTCACCATGTATTTGGTAATCAGAAAAACAGACTCTAGGCAAATGGTCTTGACAGATACTAAACTCCATCTTCAAAGAGCTGAGAAAATGCTCAGATCGTCGCAAACAACTGCAACAGGTTTATAGGAGAACAGGCTGCAATCAGCCCTGGCCCTCCGTAGTGGGCCAAGGATACCACTAGGGTGCTACTCTGTTTGTAATTACTTGACAGAATGCATTGAAGACTCATTAGGAGCCAGTATGAAACTCTTCTACCTGTTCTCCAGGCTTGGGCATGCAATGGGGGACAACACCCACAATCTGGGCAATTTTTGGTGGAGCTCTGCTTACCTGGTGTATCCTCTTCACTTGCCCGTCTATGGACAGGTCATCCAGGGGAGAGCGGGTGGTACCCTCATGTCCTGGCATGTCCACGCACACCAAGTGTAGGTTCTTTGGAAGGAACTGAGAACATACAGGCCAAGAGAGTCAGTATGTGGTGGGCAGAAAATGTCTGCTCACTTTCCTGGGAAGGTTACACCTACTTCCCAAGTAACCTGGATAGCCAACCCTGGGGATATATGGGCCTGGGCCACCCAGAGTTTTACCCTAGTAACATCTGATGGGAATGAGCATTGCTAGTAGCCTCGTAGGAAGCAGACACCCCAAAGATTAATAAATACATAGATGGAAAAGGATCGGGAAGCTGACTGAAAAAGGGGGACAAAGGTCTGGGCAGCAGGTATGCAACTCTCACTTTCGACACCAGCTGGGAGGTACTAGCCCCATCCCTTCCCCACTTACTCCAGTCATTCAACCCTGGACTGGGAACTAGAAGGGCTGGTTCTGTTCTCCTACAGGCCTGGCCATTCCAGAGTCCACAGGAACAAGGCTTTCTTTAAGAACCACATCTGATTACCCTGATTTTGGTTTCAACTTTTTTTTTTTGCATTAAGGTGTCATTCCTGGGGTAATTATTATCCTAAAACACCTTCTTTGGTTTAAATGTGTGCCACTTTTAACCAGGAAACTCAGAAACATCAGTTCTTAATAAACAAATACCTAATTATACGGAAGATGCTTATCTGGCCTTGGCTGGTATGGCTCAGGGGATTAAGCACCAGCCTGCAGACTGAAAGGTTGCCAGTTCAATTCCCAGTCAAGGCATGTGCCTGGGTTGCAGGCCAGGTCCCCAGTTGGGGGCATACGAGAGAGGCAACTGATCATTATTTCTCTCCCTCTCTTTCTCCACCTCTTCCCCTCTCTCTAAAAGAAAATTAAATTTTTAAAAAAATTTTAAAAATATATTTTATTGATTATGCCATTACAGTTATTCTATTCCCCCCCTTCATTCCCCTCCACCCTACACACCCCTCTCCCACCATTCCCCCCCTTTAGTTTGACCACGTGTCTCAAGTTCTTTAGATTCTATATTTCCCCTATTATTCTTGCCCTCCCCCCATCTATTTTCTACCTACCGTCTATGCTACTTGTTTTCTGTACCTTCTCCCCCCTTCTCCTTCTCCCACTCTCCTGTTGCTAACCCTCCATGTGATCTTCATTTCTGTGGTTCTGCTCCTGATCTAGCTGTCCTCTTAGTTTGCTTTTGTTTTAGGTGTGGTTCTTAATAACTGTGAGTTTGCTGTCCTTTCACTGTTCATCTTTTTTATCTTCTTTTTCTTAGGTAAGTTCCTTTAACGTTTCATATAATAAGGGCTTGGTGATGATGAACTCCTTGAATTTGATCTTATCTGAGAAGCACTTTATCTGCCCTTCCATTCTAAATGAAAGCTTTGCTGGATAGAGCAATCTTGGATGTAGGTCTTTGGATTTCATGACTTGGAATACTTCTTTCCAGCCCCTTCTTGCCTGGAAGGTCTCTTTTGAGAAATCAGCTGACAGTCTGATAGGAACTCCTTTGTAGGTGACTGTCCCCTTATCTCTTGCTGCTTCTAGAATTCTCTCCTTCATTTTAATCTTGGCTAATGTAATTCTGATGTGCCTTGGTGTGTTCCTTCTTGGGTCCCACTTCTTTGGGACTCTCTGAGCTTCCTGGATTTCCTGAAAGTCTATTTCCTTTGCCAGATTGGGGAAGTTCTCCTTTATTATTCGTTCAAATAAGTTTTCCACTCATGGCTGTTCCTCTTCCCCTTCTGGCACCCCTATAATTCGGATGTTGGAACATTTAAAGATGTTCTGGAGGTTCCTAAGCCTCTCCTCATTTTTTAAAATTCTTGTTTCTTCATTCTTTTCTGTTTGGTCATTTTTTTCCTCTTTCTGGTCCACTCCTTTGATTTGAGTCCCAGTATCCTTTCCATTACTATTGGTTTCCTGTGCATTTCCATTCATTTCAATTAGTTTAGCCTTCATTTGTGTCTCTAATTTGTGACTAAAATCAACCAGTTCTGTGAGCATCCTGATCACCAGTGTTTTCAACTGTACATCTGAAAGTTTGGCTATTTCTTCATCTCTTAGATTTATCGGCTCTGGGGCGCTGAGTTGTTCTTGAGCCATGTTTTGATCTGTTGGTGCCTGTTATGTATGAGGAGAGGCACCTTAAGTGTCCACCAGGGTAGGGCCACCCAGGTCGCTGGTTTGTGATGCTGTATGTGGGGGTGGGGTCAGAGAGGGACAATGGTGGTCCCTCTGCTGCTTCCTGCCACTGGGGTCTGCACAGTCTGTCTCACCGCTCGCTCCTTCACCGGTTTATCTGCACTCGAATGTGTGACCGTGGTCAGCCCTCAGTGGGTCCAATGCCTTGTGCCCTCAGTGGGTCTGCCCACTACTCCACACCTGGGATCCGCCCACGGCTACTGGCACACCTGGGTCATGTGCTCGGGTTGGTCCAGTGGATCTTTCCTGCCCGACCCCTCTCTGCTGCAGGCTCTGCCCCTCTTATTGGTTTGGCTGAAGGGATCATTGTTGTCAGACTTCCGTATAGTTCAATTTTCTGTGGTTTTGGCTGCGTTTTTGTTGCTAAAACTTTGTTGTTTTTAAACTTGGTTGTGTGAGGAGGCGCAGTGCTTCCACCTATGCCTCTATCTTGGCGGAAGTCAAAAATAAAATATTTTTTAAAGATTTAAAAAATGTAGACAACTGTAATTGAACTACAATAAAAAAAAATTTTTAAGAGGCTTATCTGGAGTGGGGACAGGAAGTGAGGGATTCGTTAAGGCACAGGGATTGCTGTCCTCATAGTGGAGTTTGAAAATAAAGACACAAGTAACTGCAGGATATGTGGGCCTTTTCCTTCTGGTACAGATCATCCCTGAGATCAGTCAGGTATGGTCCTGCTTGAAGTGGGAGGCCCGGAGGCTTCCCTCCCAAGACCTTTCCTAGCCTCCACCATCACCAGCTGGTCACTCCTCCCAAGTAAAGGAAGTTGCCACACCTGAGTAAACCAGGACAGAAAGTGAGTCATTTAGAAAGCTATCCCAGAAAGCTGCCAAATCAAGATAACTTCTCTAAGTGGCTAATGAAGAAGAAAAAAGTAAAAACAGAAAGAGGAGGTAAGGATGAGGGAGGGGAGAAGAAGGAGCATACAGGGCCCTGGTGGGTGTGGCTCAGTGGACTGAGCACTGGCCTGTGAACCAAAGGGTCACCAAAGGGTCCCAGTCAGGGCACATGCCTGGGTTGCGGGCCAGGTAACCTCACAAGAGAGGTAACCACACATTGATGTTTCTCTCCCTCTGTTTCTCCCTCCCTCCCTCCCTCTCTCTCTGAAAATGAATAAACATAATCTAAAAATAAAAATAAGGAGGTAGCAAAAGGGAGAAGTAGGGGAAGGAAGAGGAGATACTTGGAGCATAAAAGAACAAATGATTTTATATATATATATATTTAAGATTTTATTTATTTATCTTTAGAGGGAAAGGGAAGAAGAAAGAGAGAGAAATATCAATGTATGGTTGCCTCTCATGCGTCCCCTACTGGGGACTGGCCTGCAACCCAGGCATGTGCCCTGACTGGGGACTGAATTGCAGTTGTTTAGTTCGCAGGCCAGCGCTCAATCCACTGAGCTATACCAGCCAGGGCCAAGAACAAGTGATTTTTTTAAAGCTTAACCCTGATAATGACTGTTCTGAGATGAAGTCAAGTGTCAGAAATCTTTCCTAAGAAATTCTTATAAGGTGAAATGATTTCTAAGGGACAGATTTTACAAATAACATTCAACTCAATAAATTCTGTCTGGTAAAATTTAATAAATATTATATTAGTTTTAAGATAACCTGAGCCACAGTTATGGTTTTCCTTTGCTTTCTACCATTGCTGATGACTATATGTCCAAGTGGAAATACTTTTCTCTACTGCACCTTGACCAAGCTGAGCCACATGTCCTTGTGTGCAGAAAACCCGTGGAGCATGAGGAGGGAAGGTTTGCACCCAGGCCTGCCACGGAAGGAATAACAGAACTGATAGTCTTCATGCTGAACATAGCGGACCTGCATGCCCAATGTCCGCCGCCAGTACCTGGGAAGGAAAAATATATGCCAAGTCAAATCAGCAAGTTCTAGAGAAGTGGGGGCACAGTTCCTCTCTACAGTCTCACCTCAAGGTGAGACCTGGCTTTCCTCCTCCATACCTGACTCTGGAGGCCCCCAGAGCTTCACCCTCAAGGAGCACTAAGTAAAAGAATACCAATATTCATGCCACATGGATACTGTGGTATATATGTCACTACATAATCTCTCTAAACTAGGAAGGGCACAGGGGTGTTTTCTTAAGAAGCATGACACATAATAACCTTTTGTTAATACATTTCTAGCAGTTGAATGGCAATGCTAAGGAGGAGTCAGCAGTGGGATCTCACTGGGTGTCTGACTAGTCCTTATCTGCTTGGACTGGTTGAGCTTCTGCAGAATTGAAATGGCTGCCAGTAAGCCTGGGAAGGACCCCAGAAAGGCCAGGACAAAGATGGTTTCCTTTTGCAGAGAGTTGGTCTACGGTCTGGTGGACCACCTTCATCGACACCTGAAACCTAGGGGGAGCAGCCAGGGACATGCGGGCAGGACTGGGGCTGTGCACAGCGCAGGTGTCCTGGAGTGAGACTTCCCTGCAGAGACACTTTAATTGCCAGGAAAAGCATCAAAAGACTTAATGGCAGTGTTGCTTGTAATTTTCTACTGGTGGAGATGAAGAATTGGACTCTCACCAAGGTTGCTGTTGCTCGTATCAGTATCACTCCACACACCCACAAATCTCTGGGAAGAAAGAACACCAGAAGACAGTCTAAAGGAGCCTACAGTTCATATGATCTCAGGACTCTTAATACTCTAACAGCTGTTCAGTGTTGGCAATTCCAATGGACTGATCTCTGCTAAAATCACAATTTTTCCTATTTGTAAATCTACTTGAAAATGGTGGAGGGCCTTTTCACAAAGGTGGGACCCAAAGTGAAGAAGGAAGCCCCTGGACCTCCCAAAGCCGAAGGCAAAGGCTTTAAAGGCAAAGAAAGCAGTGCTGAAAGGCATCCACAGCCACACACACAAAAAAGATCTGCATATCACCCACCTTCTGGAGGCCTCCCTGCGGGTCCGAAGGCAGCCTAAATATCCTCAGAAGAGCGCCCCCTGGAGAAACAAGCTTGACCACTATGCCATCATAAAGTTTCCCTGACTACTGAGTCAGCCATGAAAAAGATGGAAGACAACAGTGCACTTGTGTTCACTGTGGACATCAAGGCCAACAAACATCAGATCAAACAGGCTGTGAGGAAGCTCTATGACATTGACAGGGCCAAGGTCGACACCCTGATCAGGCCTGATGAGGAGAAGAAAGCATATGTTCGGCTGGCTCCCGACTATGATGCTTTGGATATTGCCAGCAAAATTGGGATCATCTTAACTGAGTCCAGCTGGCTAATTCTAACTATGAAAATTTTATACTAAAAAAAAGAAAGAAAAAGATGTAGGTTTAGTTAAGTTTTCAACCAACCAAATTTCATCATTTGAGTCTTAATCATATTGAAGTGCTACTATGATTTTAAAGAAGATATGGATTCTGAAGTAGTGAATTTGATGGAGTTGACAATTTTTAAAAATTTCTTTTGATTTTAATTGTGGTGCAGAAGTTAACAGTAACAAACATGGTTTTGTGCAGACATTATTTTCACTCCAGTAGATAAGCTCAATAAAGTTTATAATTTTATGTCTTCAGAAAATATGCATTTTTCCCAGAGATTTTGAGAGTGAGAACTTGTCTTTTAAAGAACTGTCTGCAGTGGACCTCCGATTGCATTCACTGCAGCGTTATGGAAGCTGGTTGAAGGCTCAGCTTCTGTTGGTTACATAAGACTTGGCAGTGCTGGTGTTTGACCTGAAATTGATCTCAGTACAAAATTATCATCTAACCAAGATTCACTCTCTTGTGAATCTTGGTACTTTGCACCAAACAGGTATCCAGGTCTTACAAAAGCAAACAGCCCAAACTGACTGGATTTAACCCTCTGTGCAAAACAAGCGGAGGGGAGATAAGAATATAAATTCATATCTATTTGGATCTGCATACAAAAAGCATATACAGGACACTATTAATATAGTTAGTATCTGGAATGGAGGTAGAGAAAACAGTGAGAAGTGGGTGGAGAGGCAACAGAGGTGGGAAGAAGGCTTTTATCACTTTTGCAATGAAAGTGTTGCCTATTTGAAACATTAAAAATATAACAAAATTGACTAGCTTAAAGCTCTTTTTATGACAAAGAAAGCTTATTTAAAGATTCTAAATTGTGCACCTAATACAAATTTGTTCATTCACTTATACGCCAGACCATCCATTTATCAGCTCTGTGATCCTGAACCTAATCTATAATAAGGGGAAACATTGCATCTACTGAGGATACGGTAAAGACTGGATGAGATGAGCCATAGGCAAAGTTTTGTTCAGTGCTCAGGACATGTAAGTGTTTGATAAATGGTAGTTACTAGTACTATATAAAGAAGATTCTATCCTTGTAAATAAACCACTTGCCAAAATTCAAGGGAAAAAATTGCAACAAAGATTAATATCCTTAATATATAAAAAGCTTACAAAATGGTAAGAATCATGCTGAGACCCCCCAATTCAACACGAGTAAAATAAATGAAAAGGTTACTCAGAGTAGAAGAGAATTAATGACTGACAAACATCGGAAACATGTTCAAGTTCACCACCATTCATTTCAATTAAAGAAATGAATATTACAACAAGAAATGCATTTTAATGGACTTCTAAATTAGAATAATGTCTTTTAAAAAACAATTATGTTCAACCTTTCTAGAAAGCAGTTTGGAATTAAGCATCAGGGGTCTTAAAAGCCTCGTGCCTTTTCACCCAGTAATCATACCTCCAGGAATAATCTGTTCCAAGAACATAAGCAGAAATCTTGAAAGAGTATTTCTAAACATGTCTGACAGTGTTATTTAAGTTAGGAAAAAATCTGCACTAACCTTAATGTCCATAAATAAAAAATTTATTACATCAATTACAATGTATCCAGATAATGGAATATTTTGCTCTTAAAAATGAGGTCTTCAGCCCTGGCTGATGGCTCAACTGGTTGGAGCACCATCCCACACACCAAAAGGTCACGGGCTCGATCCCTGGTCAGGGCACACACCTAGGCTGCAGGTCGATCCCAGGTTGGGGTGTAAACAGGAGGCAACAAATCAATGTTTGTCTTTTGCACTGATGCTTCTCTCTCTCTCTCTCTGTCTCTCCCTTCCTCTCTCTCTCTCAAATCAATTAAAAAAATCACCCTTGGGTGAGAATTTTAAAAAAAAATGAGATCTTCAAAGAATATCTAATAATGGGACAGTGTTTATTGCATGATGCCAAATGAAAACTTAGGACCCAATTTTTTTATACTATTGATTCCAATTCTGTTAAAAAAAAATTTAACTAGGTACAGATGAGGCAGGGGAGAAGGTGGTGAGAACAAAAGAGGAATTGAAGAAAATGACTTTGGGGATTACGGATACTTTATATTTTCTCTGTGTTAACTTTTTATAATCTTCGAATTCTCCTCAACTGTAACACAAAGAGCAGTATGAGACCAAGGAAGAGCTGGAAGGACCTTGGAGGGAAGGTGACGCTGCAGAAGCACCTGGATACTCAACACCTAGCAGTGGGAGACAATGCGGAAGGCAGAGGCAAGGGCGCGGGGATAAGGAAGCACGACTTGCCCGAGAGTGAAGGGAGAAGGGGTTGGGAAGGCGGCCCGAGAGCTAGGCTCACAAACTGAGGCCTCTTCATCACCAGGTAGAGCTCTGGGGTACTAATCCATGTACTTCATTTAATTGGTACATCTACTGGAAAACTTTATCTAGGCTTTGGAAACAGAAGTTGAAGAACCAATATTTTCAGTAATTTCAGATGATCCTCTCAATGAAAGAGTGGGAAGAAGACTCCTTAAGCTACAAACAAGGTCAGTTAAAAATTATGAAAAACCAATGGCTCTGATGGAAAACAAACAAACAAACAAACCCAACTTCTTTGGTTTAAGGATAATGGAGAATAAATTACCTCCAAATCATAAACATCACAAAGGCAGAGTTTAGAAAGAGCTGTGAGTATACAGAACAGAAACAAAGAGAAAAATTAAATTGGGATAAATGAATGTCTCAGAAACAAGATCTTTCACAGATGAACAATCTTGGTATGAAAGCCAAACTTCTCCTGTTTCAGGGACAGACGTCACTGAAGCCCCCAAAAGCAGCCCCCATGGGGCTCCTCTTTGAGAAAGGCTCCCAGCACCCAGAGCCTTTATTTCACAAGTGTTGCCTCCTTCAGTTTGCGGCGACCCCCCAGAGAAAAGTATTTCCACCCTTCTTTTTGTTGCTGTTGTTACTCCGGTAAAATACATATAACGTGAAATCTACCATTTTTACCATTTTAACCATTTTAGGGTACAATTTAGTGGCATTAAGTACATTCACAGTACTGTATGTCAGTCATCACAAGTATCCATTTACAGAACTTCTCATCATCCCAAACTGAAATTCTGTACCCATTAAACAAAAATTCCACATTCCTTCCTGTCCCTTGGCCCCTGGTAATCTCTATTCTACTTTCTGTTTCCGAGTTTGGCCAGTCTAGGTACCTCATGTAAGCAGAATCACACAGCATTTGTCATTTTGTGTCTGGCTCATGTCACCTAGCATGTTTTCAAGTGATCTGTATTATAGAATGCATCCATACTTCACTCCTTTTTAAGGTGAGATAATATTCCATTACATGGATATGCCACATACTTGTCCATTCATCAATTGTTTCTACTTTTTGGCTACTGTGCATAATGCCACTGTGAAAATCCACGTACGAGTTGTTGTGCAAATATATGCATATGTTTTCAATTCTCTTGGGTAAATACCTAGGAGAGGAATTGCTGGGTCATTCAGTAGCTCTTTTCTTTTAAATCTTTCAAGGAACTGCAAGACTTTTCCAAAGTGGCTGCACCACTTTGCATTCCTACTAAGAATATATGAGGGGTCCAATTTCTCCACATCCTTCATTGCTATTTTTCGGAGAAACGTTAAATTGAAATGTAAGTCATATTACAGGAAAATGCACAAGCTGCAAGTGTCCCTGGAGCATGGCCAACCGGATTTCACAGGGGTGTGGACTCCGCTCCTGTAGGCAGCACCGAACGCTTTGCCATGACTCGACAGAGCCACAACTGGAGGTGCCTTGGCCCCTGCACAGAGGGGCAGCTCTGACTCCGGAAGCCTTCTCCTGATGCTCAAGGAACCTGGGGGCTGGGGACTGTGTAAGCACAGAGGCTGCTTTTGGCATTGGTGCGTGGAAGTAGGCTCTATGTAATCACACCTGAGCATGCGGCCATGGCTCCGGCGACAGGCCACACCACCTAACTGCATTCTCCATTCCAACTTGATTTAAGAAAAATGGCATTTGCATGTGGAGCTCCACAGAGCCTCTGTGGGGACAGGTGGAACACACAACTCTGGCCTCTCCATGTCAGGCTACATGGGAGCCCTGGCCCCAAAGCACTCCTGCTGCTAGGGTGGCAAGGACAACGGCATTTAAACACACCTGCGTCTCAGCTTTGTTAGCGCAGAGATGGGTCGTGAGCGAGCCTTTGAAGGGGTCACCACCTCCCAAGACAGAGTGAGGTAGTGAAAAGCTCCCTTCCGATCAATTAGCTTCTCTTCAAGGATCAGAGCCTGGCTGGCAGGTGGAAAATTCCACACTCTAATGAAACAAAAGGAAGCCAGAAAGGAGGGCAAATAGAGGGCACATGCCAAACTCCCTGCATTCTTCTCCCTAGGCGCAGGACGCAGTTCTCACTCCCAGAAGTCTGGGTGAAATGTCAGTGCACTTCCCTATGGCACAAGGACAAACCAGGTTTGTTTTGGTATTTCCCTCATCAGGGCTACGCATACGATGTGGGCAGAAGGGTGTTTTTATTTGGTGAGTACACTGTAGCATGAAAAGTCCCAGAAGCACATCATGAGAAAGCTCCTCCATTTTCACCTGTTACGATTCTGATTAAGAAGAAAGACGCTCCCTCAAGGAGAAAGGCTCTGCTGGGGCCGCTGCATCTTCCACAGCCCTCTTAGACTTTGTACCAAAGAGAAAGGAGACGCAGAGTCTTTGGCAGGTGGCAACATTTAGGCTAGAATTTAAGAACACTGTTTACTGGTGTTCTGTTTATTTTTGCTTTCTTATATTAAATTACTATTTATGGCAAGTATGGCAAACTTTTCACAAAGGTAATGATATTTCTATTGCTCTTAATAAATTGATTTAAGCTACGAAAAGTGACTTATTCTAAAGATACCATAAAAGGAGAGGTGGCATGCAGATAGGGCAAGGATTACAAAGGTGGTACAAGAATGACAGATGGTTTGGAAACGTCTTTTTCTTTCTGCCACTTCACTAATGAACACTTTCAGAATAAATCTGAAACCATCCTGTCCCATCTGTTTGCCTTCTCCAGGGCCCGCTCTTTCTAATTCATTCATCAGCGCACATCACTGCACCTGTCAGACCGTCACCAGGTCAGAATCCAAGGACCATGAAACTACCAAAGGAATTCCCACACATGCACACAATCCTTGCTTAAAAGAATCAGTGACTTTGGCAATGAGGGTGGCCTCCTGGGCAAAGATGCTATCGGAAACCTGAAAGAAGCCACCTGGTGAGCAGCTACCACCAATTCTTCAGGAACACTCCCGAAATTCAAAAAAGGATGTCTTTCGACTTTTCTGTATGTTTAAGATGTTTCGTGATAAAATGCTGAACAACAGGCACCAAAAGGACAAACAGAGAAGATGACATTATGATACCCCTGAACACTTCAATTATAAAGTTAACTTACCAGTAATAGATTTTTATCAGCACTGATGGCTTCAGGAAAAACAAGGCCACAAACACCAGGATGGGGACGGCCAGCGTCCCGCCCGCAATCACCAACATGTTCACCACATCGAGGTCCATCCTGCTCTTCGAGGCTGGCTGGTGCCTGCAGGCCCGAAGAGAGTGACAGCACTGAGACTCCATCTCCAGAGAAAAGGTGAAGAAGTAAAGGGAAGGAGAAAAGCGAAGGACCCAGGATGTACAAAGATAAGGAAGAGCAAAAGTAGGCCATTGTTTTAAAAAAACTGAAGAAGCACAACAACTACATGTAGTGAAGAATCCCAGAGAGGACCCTGGGTTTTATTTTCAGCTATAAAGGAAACTGTTAGAACAACTGGGAAAATCTTAGTAAGGACTGCCTATTTGATAATATTACTGTAATGGCGATACAATTCTTGACTGTGATAACGGAAGTGTGGTTACCTTTGCATGTAGGAGAATGTTCCTGTTCTTAGGAGATGTCTGCTGAAGCACTAAGGGGTGAAGTATAGTGACATTTACTACTCACTTTCAAAAGTTGAGGAGAAAAAAAATAATGTGCGTGTGTGTGCGTTTGTGGGAGAAAGGAGAGGAGCCTTTCTCCCACACAGGTCCCTCAGCCACCATACTAAGTCCAGGTCCTCACTTGTTGCTCCGCTTTGTGTAGAGGTTGCTCTTTCGTGGTGCAGTTCTTCCACCAGCAGCAGCCGGAAGAGTCTCCGCAATTCCCCCTAGGGATCTGGCTGCGCTGGGAAACTCTGACCACTCCTCAGGGACCCAACTCAACCTCTGGACCGCCACACCTCCGCCTGTACCCCACATAACCAACTTCTGTCCCCAGGTGAGCCCCACACAGCTGCATGTTCTGTCTTTCCTCGTGCTGTCCCCTTCCTGTGGAGCACACTCGTGTCCACTCTGCCTCCGTGGCTGATCTGAGTGTCACACTCCCCAGGAAAGCATCCCGGTCCCACAGACCGAGGTCTTCTTGACTCCCTTCACAGTCAGAGCACTGCTCCTGGCAAAGTCACTGAGATCTGCTCATCAGAGGCTTTTGGGTGCATATCTGAGCTTTGAAAACCTTCAGGGCCCAAACCCCTCTCACGCCAGTCTTACTAAAACCGGAGAAATCACCCACCTCAGATGGTGGGTTTCAAGGGGGCTCACAGAAGAGCCCAGGCCCATTACAAACTGCTGCTTCATCATTTCATAATCTATGGTTTTAAAAATCCATACCCACTGTTCAAAGAGCACCGCCTTCTTTTCCAACTGCTACTGGCTCTGGCAGAAGGTGAAAACGAGACTCTGAAATCACAAAAAAGAAATGACAAAGCATTAAATCATAATTGGAAATATGAGTTAAATGTTAACAGCCAGAAAATTGCCAGCTTTGCTGGAGGTACAGAGCTCTCCTTTATGACACACGCAAAATACAATATCCTGTGGGACAGTCACCTCTGGTTCAAGTCACCATGCCCTGCAAGTTAAGCAACCTGCATAAAGGGTAGAGCTTTCCAGGTAATAAAAAGAAGGAGGTCAAAGAAGATACCTGTGGTGTGAGGACAAAGCCTGGGACGATGATCCAGGGCTGTGTAGGTAAGGCAACCTTGGAGCATGGGTGCTGGGGTGGGAGGGGTGCTGCAAGAGCGGCAGTCTCTGGGGGCTAGGAACTTAACTGAGACCCTCGAATATAGGCTGAAACTCTCCTTCTCCATCTGGGATTAGTTAGGGTCTACCTAGTTGTACTCAGAAAGAAATGAGAGGAAGGTGGCAACCAATGTGCAAATGAGAACAGCAATGCCCCTGGAGCAACAAGGAGGCGAGGCCACACAGCTGCAACAGAGGGCGGAACAGAGCGGAGATGCTGGAGATGCTGGCGAGGGCCCCGCAGTGGGAGGACAAGGTGACAGGTGAGGGATGGGGTCAATGCACCAATCCCGAATTATTTCAGAGGATCAAAGAGTGAAACATAACAAAATGAAATGATGAAAGTTCTAGAAGAAAACATGAGGACTTAAAATACCTTCATGGGCAAAGCCTTTCTAAGTAAGATATAAAACCAGAGGCCATAACAAAAAAAGATTAGTAAGTTGACGGCATAAAGTGTTTTTAAATATCCATGAGGAAAAGAAACTATAAACAAGGCTAAAATTTATCAATACATATCAGAGGCAGCAGACTAATTTCCTTAATGCACAAAGGGTTCTTGCAAATCAACATAAACATCAATAAAATCCAATAGAAAAATAAGCAAATGATCTGAATAACTTACCAGAAAGTAAATGCCAATGACTCTTAAAAATATAAAAAAGATGCTCCATTTCATTTATAATAAGAAATATGTAAATTAAATCTATAAGGTAATAGCAAAGTTCATTTATCATGCTAGTTATCATGTTCAAATAGCAAAGTTCAAATATCATGCTGACAAAAAGTTTAATAACAGACTGTGCTGTTGAGGCCATGGGAAAATGAGGCTATATGTAATGTAGCACTCATGTTCCCATCAACAAACTCCACCCACACATGGCACTTTGGCACAGTCTGCAGCGATGTGATGTGCCCGTACCCTTGACCTAACAACCTCAATTCTAGGATTTTATGCTTATAACTAACTGAACAAATGTGAAAATATGTTTTTGCAAGGTTATTTGCTACAGTATCATTTATTACAACAAGAGATTAGAAATAAACTCATGAGCTCACCTAAATGGAACTTGTTAAGTAAATGATAGTATAACTTATTAAAAAGTATAATGTATAACCATTAAATACAAAAACATTAAATGTAAGCTATTAAAGTAATGACAGAGTTCTGCCTGTCTCTATGGTTCATAACCTCCAAGGTTAGAGCATTGTCTTCCTGCCTGTATAACTGTCCGAAGGTTAAGTCAGCTTCTTAGGACATTTAGTCCTTAAGGGTCAAAGTCCAGCACAAGATAGAAGATAAAAATATCTGTCCAAGAATCATTTATGGTCCACAAATCAGAAATTCTTATCTTCCTGGTGGATCGGGGAGAGGTGCTAATCAACAGATTCACTCTGGCCTGCTTTGTCCCAAAGCACCAGCAACTTGTTCCTGAGAAGATTCCTGCTCAAGAACCAGCCAAGCCCACAACCCCTGCCCCTGCTTCTGTCACCTGAGGCAGCACTGTGGTCAAGGAAACAGCCTAGCCAGGCAGGTCCTGTGGACAATCCTGCCACTCAATCCTCTGGAAAGGCAGGAAGGTCAATCAGGTGCTCAGCTGGGAGGCAGGTGGCTCACTATCCTGCCAGGTATCTTCTAAAAGAATCATACTGGCCAAGGCCCTGGCCTAGTAGCTCAGTTGGTAAGAACATTGTCCCCATACACCAAGATTACAGGTTTGGTTCCCAGTCATGGCACATACAAGAATCAACTCATGGGCCAAGGCTGGTGTAGCTCAGTGGATTGAACACAGGCCTGCTGGTTCAGTTCCCAGTCATGGCACTGTGCCTGGGTTGCAGGCCAGGTCCCCTGTAGGAGGCGCATGAGAGGCAACCACACTCTGATGTTTCTCACCCTCTCTTTCTCCTTCCCTTCCCTTCTCTCTAAAAATAAATAAGTGAAATCTTAAAAAAAAAAGAATCAACCAATGAATATATAAATAAGTGGAACAACAAATAGATGTTTCTCTCTATCTCTTTCCCTCCCTCTATCCTTCCTTAGCTCCAACCCTTCCTCCCTTTCTCTCTCTCTAAAAAGTCCATAATTTTTTTTTTTAAAGAATCATACCGGCAACACCTGCCCTGCCCTGACCTAGCCCAGCACCTTCAAAACATCAGCCTCTGGGTTCAAGATGTGGGCTGTAGTGATCATCTGAAATAACCACCTGCTTAAAGTCACATTTAAAATCAAGAAAACCCTACAGAAATACCAGCCTGTCTCCTGCTGGAGAAAAGAGAAGCCAAAAGCCGCTTGACCCTTTACCTCCAAGGACCCCAACGTCTTCACGCTTTTGGGGAGCCTAGAACAAGCTTTTAGCATATGGATCAGTGTGAATGCATGTGCTTCATCAGCCGAGGTCACCCCTTAAAGGTAAAGTGCTAGAAAAAGCATCCCATGAGTGAGAATATTCCACATGCCTGAAAGGAGTTAAAATAGCCCTCTGTGTGAGTGTGCAACAGCAGCGGGCCTAAAATAGAAGCTTGCCATCCGAAAGCATTCTGCCCATGCCCTAATCTGCACTCCTAAGTAAAGGATCAAAAGGGCTTTGTCATTTCTAGAGGAGGTGAAGTAGACCTGCAGTATTTTCTAATTGCAGGAACAAAGCTGGTGTTAGGCAAAAAGGAGCCCTGTTATAAACCAGCAGGTTTCTCTCAGGACAAGATTTCTTCAGGGCCCTGGAAGACCTGGCCCCCGCCTTCTTTTGGAGAAGAACCTCCTTTCAGGAGATCTCTAGCCCAGGAAAATTAGCATCAGAACAAGCCACATGCAAACTTTCATAGCTAAGAGTAAAACAGTTTAGTTTAGAACTTTACCTAATAACCCCAAAATTGAAATGTTTACTTTATTTTATTTTTTTAAGATTTTATTTATTTATTTTTAGAGAGAGGGGAAGGGAGGGAGAAAGAGAGGGAGAGAAACATTCATGTGTGGTTGCCTCTCATGCAGCCTCCCCTGGGGACCTGGCCCAGAACCCAGGCATGTGCCCTGACTGGGAATCGAACTGGCGACCCTTTGGTCCACAGCCTGCACTCATTCCACTGAGCCACACCAGCCAAGAGTATATTTTAAAGCAATAGTAAATACGAACAAAATTTTAGGTTATAACTGCAGTCCTGTGCTAATTTATTCTTTGAGAACAAAGAATAAATCACAGGTAGATTATCTTATAGTAAAATAAATCCTTCCCATTAACATTTGCTTATGATAGTGCTACCACAAAGAGGACATTTTTGCAAAAATACCTTATTGATGCCCTGGCTGGCATGGCTCAGTGGACTGAGTGCCAGCCAGTGAGCCTAAAGGTCTTCTTGCTAGCTCGATTCCCAGTCAAGGCACATTCCTAGGTTGCCAACTGGGGGAGTGCATTCTTACACATTGATGTTTCTCCCCCTCTTGCACCCTCCCTTCCCCTTTCTCTAAAAGTAAATAAATAAAATCTTTAAAAAACAACAACCTTATTGATCTCTGAAAGACTTTCCAATTCTTTTATTTTCAAGTCTCTTTCCTCTTCTCTTTATCAGTTAACAGATCCTCATCTATCATTGCCTTGATATGTCATCCAAACAGTTCTTCCAACACCCTTGCTCTAATTTCATGAAGTCCCTCCTCTTTCACAAGAGCTACAGTTTCACTTCCACTGTTTATGTTGTATGGCCAACAACCTGGAAGTGACAGAGGACCAAGATGTGGATGCTTCTGGAGCCTGGCTGGACACAAGGGTTGAAAAGAGAGATATGATGGAGTGGCAAGTCCATTAATGAATATTTTCTTGTTATGATGACTTCTGCTTCCCTTCTACAACCTGGAAACTCCAGGGAATCAGATACAATACACTGATAATCTGATCCTCTGGTGACTGTACCTGAATGGGCTTTTCATTTTCTCTATTTACCCCTACTCTGCCTACCTAGAACATACCCCCTACAGACCCCCATCTCCTCCTTTACAAATCTTTCTGGTAGAGTTAGGAGCTATCTCCTCCAGTTAACCTTATCCCCTCCCCTCCAGTCATTAGTTACCGCCACCTCCTCCTCCATGTTCTAGGACAGCAACTTCCAACTGGTGTGCTGCAAGAATTTTCACAGCATGCGTTACCTGACTATTTAGTCAGGGGTACTTTTCACTTGGATCGTCAAATAGAAAAATGACAACAGCCCACACAACAGCCGTTCGGTGTGAGTATGTCAAAATTATACCTAACATTTTTTTGTCAGATTGGCAAAAAATATATTTTTGGGTGTGCTGCAGAATTTTAGCAGTTTACATGTGCCACAAGATTGAAGAGGTTGAAAATCACTGCCCTGCAGGAATTTGTAGGAGCACTTCTCTCTCTTGGCATTTATGATTTGTGCCCTTTGTCATAGTTTTCATGAGAATGCCAGCTGTACTCCACTTGGCTGCAAGCTTCTGGAAGACAAGTCTTACAGCATCTCTGCACTGGCCACAGCACATGAGCGTACACTATGCGGGGCGGGCCCTTTGTAAATGCCAAACAATAAGCTGGAATGTCGTGAATCAACAGGGCTGCTGCCTGGCCTACACCACTGTAGGCCATTCCTTCACTCTGTTCATTACAGCCACCAACAAAATGAACATTCCTCATCTGAGAGGTATAGTT